TTAATAAAAAAATAATAGTCATAAAACGTAATTAGGATAAAATTTTATGAACTGATATAGTACAAAGATTTAATAAGTAAAGATACCATATATATAGATTTAGTTAAATAAAAAAAAATTCTAATTTTAAAAAGTAGATTTAGAACACTATATAATTAATCAAAACATCAGTTTAACATAAATTTAAATTTTTAAAATCAGCTTAATAATAATTATGGATTAGACTTATAAAATTGGTATAAAATTAAATTTTTTGTTCGGTCATACTTAGTGTTAACTTTTGCATTCTTATTCTGAAATAAATAAATAAATAAAATTGGTATAGAAATATCACCCATTATTTCCATATTGATTCTGTTGGAAAATGCTATAAAGAAATTGACGGGTAGTTTCCTTCAACCTTAGTTACTTACTACTCATATGGAAATGTTCAACCTGGCTAATTACGATCTCAGTGTTCCAAGTTTTGACATCAAGTCTATTGAACCTTGACAAGCTAACTCTCTTGTTCAGTGTATCTTGTGGTTTGTGATTTTATACAACATGTGTTTCAGTGGCATTTTCTTACTAGTTAAATTTGTAACTCTTTTGTGAAATCTGACAAAAACTTAAGTTATAATACATGCATTCGTTATTTGTTAATATTTATATACTTAATTTAAATACATAAACTTATAAAATAAGATAATATGATTATCTTAAAATTCATTTACATGGATGTAAATATTACAATAATTTAACAAATAAGGCTAATGGATCTATAGTGATATTGGGAATTGGGATAAAATCATGGCCTTCCTTCCTAGCTTGATCTGTAGTGATATTGCTCAAATTGAACCCCAGATAAGGCTAATGTACTTGCTACTATTTTTGATATTTATTATTAAATTTATTTACCAATTACTATCTAATCCTATCCCTTTGTCCGATTATTTTCATGATCTATTTAAAATTGTTTGGAGTTGGGGAGGTCCTCTTAAAATTGTTTTTTTTTTTAAAAAAAAAAATTGCTCATGAGAAACTATTCACTGATGAGGAGAGAGTCAAGCGCAGTATAACTGATTCTCCAACCTGTCCTCAACGTGGTGATGCTGCTAAGTCCATCATGCCCACCTTAAGAGATTGTTCTTATGCCAGAAGTGTGTGGAAACATTTTATCTTCCTTGGCTTTTGTGTTCAATATTTTAGTCTTAGTTTGACTAATTGGTCACTAACTAATTTATCTAATGACTGTATGCAGACTTTTCATCATTGGCCTATGGTAGTGGAGGTGCTGCTTATGGTGGATTAATTCGTGACTGCTATGAAAAATTTATGGCTAGTTTCTACTCTAGTCTCAGACCCTGTCCCCCCTCTCACGGTGGCTAAGCTCTAGGGTTTCTATATGGGTATCCAGCTTGTGATCCAGAAGAACATCCAAACCATATGGATTGAAAGTGACTCCAAAGAGACCATCAATCTTATTTCCATGTCTAACCTCCTTTTCACCCCTTGTATTCTTTGATCTATGATATTAGGAATCTCTTAAAAATATTAGTTTTGTTAGGTTTGCTTATATCTATAGAGAAGCAAACCAATATACTGACACCTTTGCTAAAATAGGACTTGACCTTCTATCCCCTTCTCATCAGTTTGATGAAACCTCTGTTCTCTTGCTTTCTTCCTAAACTTGGATGCTTATAATTTGTGGTTCCCTAGACCCTTTTGAGCAGCTAAGCCCTGCTTTCAAGCAAAAATATTACAATAATTGACTTTCAAAATTTTAGACATTTTCTCTTTATTCTTTCTTCAAACAATGTAATTAATCATTTCATATTATTACTTTTATTTTATTTTTCTTAAAATAATTTAACTAAAATCAAAATATTTTCAATTGTCCATGGGGCATAATTCTAACATCTCATAAAAGAAAATTCACGAGGAAGAGTTTTTGTTTCTCTAATTTTTATTCATAAACTCACCACTTCATTCTTTGAATGATACATCCATAAGCCTTTTATTGGCAAAATATGCATAGTGATAGTTAATGGACAACAAAGAAAAAGGCTGATAAATTTGATTTAACAACTACTAATTATTCTTAATCTTTTATAATTGACATTTAATGGTTATCCAACTAAAATGATACGTAACAACTTCTTGTTTTGTTGCATTGTGTTTAGTCTGTCAAGGTGCAATTTTTGACAATTCAAGACAATGATTATTAGTGTATTTTTTGTGTGGCTAGAAACCATGTGTAGCTTTAACAACCAGTCAATTAATTTGTCAAATTGATCCAAGTTTATTTTTTAATATTTTCTTATCAGTAATTATATTTTCTAGCATTAATATTATTTTTACCTTATATTTTGTAATTTTGTAATTGAAGTGTTATATAATTAATCTTGTCTTAGATAGTTAGTTTTCTTCAATTGAACTCATTTGAATATGATCAAGTTTACTTGGTCAAAAAAATATAGATTATTTTAAATATTTTAACTAATTTAATTATAAAAAATATATCATGACTATTCTAAAAATAATAAAAAGTTAATAATCTTTAATATTTGTTAATATTTATATTTTATTTATCATCAATACATTTAAATTTTTTTAAATAAATATATAAATATATTTATGACATGAAATTTTATCAATTTTCTCAATTGTTTTATAAATATTTATTTTTATAAATATAAAAATATAAAAATATATGACATGCAACTCAATGAGCTAATTTTATTTAATCTAAATTTATAGTATCACAGGTTGGATTAGTTAACAAAATATTAATAAATTTGGTGCAATTCAATGAGATAAAAATAAAATTTAATATATTATATTAATTAAAAATAATACAAATTTATATTTATTTAACAAATAAAAACATCAACATAAAAAACATACATATTTATTTGTTTAAATAACTATTAAAATTTGATATAATTATAAAATATAAAAAATAAAGTTATATAATAAAGAGAATTCTTGACAAAATTTCAAAAGTAGCGTAAAAATTACTTATATAGATGAATATTAACCTATTTAGTATAACAGTAAAAAAAATGGTAAAATTAATGTAATAAAAATTGTTTTTACATCTATATTATAATTTATTTCTCTCGTTCTTTGTGGAATCAATTGATGATCATACTAATTTTGTAATTATATTAATATATATTAAAAATAATATATGAATTAATAATTTTGTAAGTGTATGCTATTTTTTACTTTAAATAAAATTTAATTTTTAATGCACATTTTTATTAGTTAATATATTAAAACAATTAATAAAATTATTTAAATCAAGACAGTTAAGTTGATTTAATTTTAATTAGTTGATAAATAGTGTAATTATTCTTCTTCTTACACTAATTAAAGATTTTAAACAATTGAAATTGAAAATAAATATTTATAAAATACACTAAATATTATATTTTTGTCAAGTAATTTTAGTTCTTTCAGCTAATGCATTTTTCAAACAATTCCTACTATTTCTAACACTAATTAATTTTTTTTTATTGTATTTAATATGTGAACCCAAGATGTGAATTATGTTAATAGACATTAAAACTAATTAATAATTTAAAAACAATAATTTTATGTGTATAGAAATTTTTTTCATTTCAAATATATCTTAAAAATATATAAAATTAATTAATAAAATTATTTAAATAAAAATAATAAAGGTAATTAATACTTTTTTTTTTCTGTTATTAACATTCTGTGGTCAACTTTTATATATAATCAATATGAATAAATCTTTATTAAATATAATTTATAGCTAAACAATTGTTTCTGTTCTTAACATCTACAGTTATCAACTACTGTTTTTATAACAATTTGAATAAACTTTGCGTAAGCATATAATTTAAATAATTTATAGAGTTTCAACAATTAATCATAAATTATTATAAATAAATATAATATTAAGTAGATATAACTAATTTTATACAATCGCACACTTTTCTCTCTATCTATCTATATATATATATATATATATATATATATATTAGTGATGTAGAATTGTAATATAAAAAGATTATTATATATAATTTAAGTTAATACTTATTTATTATTTTCAACATTTTTTTATGAGTATTTCTACCTTTATATATGATTAATTTTAATAAACTTTTTTTAGATTCAATTTGTAGTTAATTTGTTATTTTCGTTTTTAACACCATACAACATCAATATAAAGTTTTTATATACAATTAATTATAATAAAATTTTTTTTAATTATGAATCAATTATAATTTAAATTTTTAAATTATAAAAAATACTAAATAATAATATAAAGATAATTTTTATTTTTATTTTTATAAATAATTAATTGTAATAATTTTTTATTAAATGTAACTCATTATCAATTTATTATTTCTGTTTTTTAAAATCATATAACATAGATGACAAGGTCAGTGTTCATCCTAACCATTCATAAAAGATAAAATTAAATTTATATCACATTTAAAATTATTACAGAATTTTTTAATAAAAAAATTAAAATAAGAAAATGGTGAATATATATTTAAAATTTACAATACTTGATAATAACTTAACTAAATCAAATATTAAAAGTAGAAATTAAAAAATTAACTCTATGTGATATATAATTATGTATTTTAATTTATAGTATAGTTAATATATTATTTGATAGTATATCAGGGCAATATTGTATTTAATTTTTCATGTATTTGTTATTTCAAAATATTTATATATAAAAATAATCCAAAAAATATAATTATGAATCTATATTTAAAATTATAATAACTAATAATAATTTATGTAAATTAACATATAAAAGTACTATAAATTAAAAAATAAATTATGTATTTTACTTTATAGTGTAATTAATATCTTATTTAATGTTATTTAATATAATAATATAGTGAATTTTACGTATAAATATAGAATATATATTTTATCAGATATTATTTTTATAAGTTATAATTTCTTTATAGTGAACAAAAAGGCATGAATGAAAAAAGTTAGAGACAAACGAAGCAATTCAATAAACTGAAAGAATCAACCTTGATACATTACCAAACAATTTTTACTATCTTTTACTCTAACAAATGGCACTATGTGGTTCATCCAAAATAAGATAAAATACAAGCATGTACACCAAAATAATATAAATGAATTGAGATCAAAACAAAATCACTGCCACAGCATTGCTCATAAAGAAAGGCATGTTTCAAAAGTAACTTGATTGAGCTTGCAACAACTCCAGCTCAGCTAATACTTTGGCAACTGTTGATTTCAATCTAGAATCACTCTTCTGGGCCAGATCAATAAGAACCACCTGAGCAGATTCTCCATATTTTACTCTATGTTCTGCAAACTTGAATATTCTCTCCAACATCCATAATGCTTTTTCTTGAACCTTTGCATCCACAACTTGAAGACTTCTTATAATACCCTGCACACCTGACAACTTGGCAATGCAATTGACACCACCTTCCCAAATTTCATCTTGCAGAAGAGTTGAGAGAGCATACAAAGCAGCTTCAACTACTTCTCTCCCCGGATCTTCCAATAATTGTATAAGGGGAGAAACAGCACCAGCCTTGACCAAACAAAATGTTCTGTTTACAAAGCAATATCCATCATGGACTTCACAATATGCATTCACGGAGGGTGAAACACACAACCACCTTGACTTTCTAGACTTCCTAAGAGACACAGAATTCTGCGATAGTTGAGCCAGCGAGATTGCAGCCTTCGATTTTGTGATTGCTGAACCACTTGAGAGCAGTTTTACTAGCAAAGAAATCACACCATGCTCTGCTGAAAGAAGTTGTAATTTCTTGTCGGAGGGATTTGTGAAGCGTATAATAACACTTGCTATACTATCTGCTAAGCTATTAGTTGTTGATGAATTACTTCCTGTGACAGAATTCATAATGGTTATTAAAATTGGCAGCAAATTTGCCCTCTTTAGTATATCTGTCACTTTTTTATCACTAGCAGGAAGATTACTCAGTATGCCAACTGCAGCTGCTTGTTCAATCTTCGATGTTGATGATGAAACTATATCAACAATGTTGTAAAGATGAGTTTCATCAAGATGTTCAGTCAACTCATCTGTTAGATCTTTAGAGAGGGTGTACAGCAAATGTAATACCTTACTCCGGATTTTGATATTGTTTTCCTTCAGAAAGGGTAAGAGTAGCTGAAGTGCACCTTTTTCTTTCATTTTGCTTCTCACTTTGGATGCACCAGGATGTGCAGCTATGTTATTTAGAGCTTCTAACAGATGACCTTGAATTATGGGGCTAGATAGGTTCAAAAGTGAAAGCATCTGTTGAGCCACATCTTCATTAACAAGAATGGATTCCGACTGAGCGATTCTTGCGAGAATAGCTGATGCAGGCTCTCGTAAAGTCATAAGCACAGATGTTACTGAGAAAAGAAGTTGTAGCAGAGATCCAGCAATTCCAGATCTGATCAAATGTTGCACATTTTCTGTCAAGCTAGACAGATTTTGTAGTGCATTTAGTGCTGATAACTTGGACTCAAATTTTCCAGTACTAAACATACTGACAAGGGGCTCAATTGCCCCATCTTCTCCAAGGGACAGTTTGCTGTGATCAGTGAGCTCCAACCTAGAAAGTGCTGTTGCCATTAGGATCTTGTTCATGTCAGGCCCTACAATAACATGATTTCAAATTTTCAGGTACAGGAATGTAGTATCATTTGCCTCAGTTTTGATCATTGTTGATTTAAAAAGCCATACAGATAACAATTAACAAATCAAAGATGTCTTATTTTTCTGATTGGTAACAGGCAACATGTCCTATTTTTGTAGTTATCCAGTCCTTAGTTACTAACTAATTATTCCACTAACTATGGAGGTTTCCTGTCACAGAGCAGCATACCAATCCTATAGAACTAAAAGGCAACAAACAGTAGAAAACACATCAAAATTTTACATCTCCAGATAGTACAATACTTGGCAACTGTTGATTCAGTTAGTGAAGAGAACATGAAGGGAGACAAAGCCCAAGCCCAGCAAGAAGACCAAGCTCATGATCCATTACAAGGATTAGGAGGGCTCATGACCAAAGCTAGAACAAGGAAGGCCCAAGAGGCTCTCAAACTCATGCTAAGCTCTTCGATAGAAGTCCAACCACAAGTTGAGACCCAATACTCAGATGAAGCCCGAAATATGAATTCTAGGGTGTACAAATGCCTAGCCCACCTAGAATGAGAAGAGAAAGGCCCACGAATGAATCTTAACTTGCAAGAATAGTACTTTTAATAAAGGGCGTGAATATAAAAATATACATAAATACTTTCGCAGGAATAGGATTAGAACCCAAGTACTTAAAGCTAGATATGTGTCTTTAACACTAGAACATCTCATTGATGCTTGTGCTTACTCTTTTTAGTTTTTAATATAATTAGTTGGGCAAGTTCCTAATTTGCCTAAACGATATTGTACTAAAACTATTGAGCTGGATGAATCTAATCACAATTCAGTTAGAACCCAAATACTTGAAGCTAGATATGTGTCTTTAACCACTGAAACATCTCATTGATGTTTGTGATTATTTTTAGTTTTTGTTAAGTTTAATTGAACAAACTCCCAATTTGTCTAAATGAGATTGAACTATAACTATTGAGCTGGATGAATCAAATCAGAAGACAATTTTTGCTTGCGATTGTGAGAGTTCTCTTTTGGCTAGGGTTCGTCCTACCTTCATTGATCTTATCAAGAAATTCCCTTTTGTTGTGGCGATCTTAGGCTCATCAACCCTTATTTTTGTGGTGCCTTGTTCCTTGAAAACTAAATCTATTTCCGTGTCTAAATAGTCCCTATACAATTTATTTTCAATTCTGTGTTTTAGGAATCTCAGATTATCTCCAAATTTTGGAACTCACCAAATTTGTACAGAATAACTCTTGTTTGTTACTCACAAAAGAAGCATCATTTTCTAGTGATTCTTGTGCCAAATTTGTAGTTCAGAATGAGTTCTTTCACCTCGTTTTGGAATCATTCCAATTTGAAACCTGTAGCTTGGGATATAGCCTTTTCTTACCGAATGTGTTTTTCTTTTCATGTTTATCAGGCCCTAATAGGTCCAAAAGTTCAAGAGGGTTGGATTTTATCCTCATGAGTTGGGGAGCATAGCAAAACTATCAAATTAAGATTAAACTGGAGTTTAGTGTACATTACATTATCCTAAATAAACACATCGTGGTTTCCATCAGTGATAGCCTAACATCCTCTGCAAAAATGTAAAATAATTTAGTAGATAGCTTTAGCTGAAAGTTGAAACCATATGCTAACTTTTCTGTTTCTGTTGTCTACAAACTCAATCAATTTTTAGCTCCTTGCACTCAGAAAACAGTAGTATATTCAATGATATATACTTGAGGGGAACCGATAACTACTGTCATGAACAATTATAGTATCAGATATATTATTAGATAAGTGTAATATTATTATTAACTGTCATGTTGATGGCTATGGGTAGAATTAGGAGTAGTAATGTAGTATTAGAATATATGATAGAAAATAACTTATCCTGCATTAGTCGTTCTGTATAGAATTAGAAACTGCCTTGATGACATTATTCACATAAAATAACTGACGGCCGTTATGTAGTAAGGTATATTTGTTATTAGGGTGTGTAATTAGGGAGGAGGTGTTGTTATTTGCAGTTTGTAGGGGACTTTTGTGTCTAGGATAGCAAGTTTATTGCTGTATTTTGTGTGATTTCAGTGTTCAATCTTGTGTTTTATTATTTTATCAATTGGTGCTCTATCATACTCTACAAATTACTTGTCATGAATGGATGGTCCATATTAATAATAGAGAAGGAAAGAGATGTATCAGTTAAGGAAAGTCCTGTATTACCTTCCTTCAAATAGTGCACTAGTGGCCTAAAGTAGCCAGCTTCAGCCATATGAAGTGCATTTTGAGTATTACTAGACAATATATCCAATAACTTTGCTGCATCATGTGAAGCCACAGGGTCATCGCCATTAAGGATTGCAACTAACATAACAATACACCCTTGAATTCTTCCAATACGCCGTCGAACTGCAGAAATGTCAGAGAGGTCTAGCAACAGCCCCACTGCTTCCCTTCTCTCTTCTGAATCTCTTGTCAATGACTTCACCACTGCTGATAAAAACTCAATATCTACCATCTTCTCCTGCAGTAAACTACTTCATAAAGTAAGATAAAACAACCACATGTGCACTGATTTTAGACCAAAATTTAGAAGAAACATCACCTTGTGTCAATGATTTTACCTTTTTCTCATCATTTCCAAAAGCAAAACTTCTTAGCAATCGCATGATGGCAAGCCTATTGTCAGCCTTACATGAACCTAGACGATTGAAAAGAATGGCAATAATTGCTTCCTCATTAATCAAACCACCATCCAGTCTTTCATTCCTCAAGAACTCCTTTAGTCTCAAAAGTGCAATTGCAAACTCTTCATCATTTCCATTCTTAAGCTGCAAAACAACATCATCAATAGAAACATCGATTATTTCCTCTTCTATTTCCCCCGTCAGCTTTGTGTCAGTGCTGGTTAACTCTGATTTTGGGCTTGAAGTTTGGCTTAAATTTCCATCAAATTTAGCATTCATCAATTGTCTTTGTAATGTACCAATCTTTTCTCTGAAATCCGCAGACACTTCAAGGCTAGCTACAAGCAGAAGGCCTAATGACCGACCGATATCATGTGTTATGTCCTCAGTTTGCTTGATTGGTTGTCTCAAATTGGTACTTTTTGTCAAAGCTTTGGCACGCCTTAACTCATTTTCAAGAGATTCCAACGATTTTCTTATAGGTGGCTTGTCCAAGACTGTGCTTTTGTCCCTCAAATCATTGAAAATTGGTGGGAATTTCTCAACCAACATGGCAAACTCAGCAAAAATATCTACCTCAATTTCAGAGTTCTTAGCAAGAGAAGCAACCTCATCAGCCAAAACTATCAGCTCTGACAACAATTCAGAAAAATTTCCCCTTTCCTTGTTTTCCATCTTGTCTTTGAAAACTGTGCTTGTGAAGACAAAGGAAAAACCACTCATCACTTACCCGTTATAGAAACTTAAGATCCTGAATTGGACAACAACAATAGACAACTAGAGAAAAGTGCCAGCAAGAAATTAAAAACGAAAACAAAAACAAAAACAAAATTCACATAATTAACATATATATACTAGAATAATCAAGCATAGCAAAATAAAAAGAAGGGAGGGTGAAAAATGCTTGAACCTGCAGAGAAAATGCAAGGATGACTTAATAAAACAGAGAATTTGACTGTTTCACCTCAGACCAACATGTTCAAAGTTGAGCAATTTTCAGATAACAAGGTGTAAATAACAACACCACCCCACTACCCACTTTCTTCTTGTTATTGGCCTTGAAGCATAAGAAGGGTAAAACAAGGTGTGGAATTGTTTTGCTTTTCTTATGTTTGGTTTGGAATATAGTAAGCAAAAGATGTCTTGAGGGTCACCATCAGACGGCTGTGACCCATTAAATATAATAAGGTGCTTTCATATGGTTTCTTTGCTTTGCTCGTCATGGTCACGTTGTGCTTCCAACAAGTAAGTGAAACATAGTGAAGGAACAATAGAAGACGAAGTCAAAGCCTGATGCAGATGCACTCTCTTTCTCTCTCTACGTGGACTTGTACGAAGGATGTGTGTGTTTTTGTGGTTTTGCATGATTTTGCTTTTGTTCTGAGTTCTTCGTTGCAACCGTTTTCAGCTTTGAATGCATTAACGAGACTTCTAGATGGTGGGTGGGTCAAACACTCAAAACATTACCATATGTCTCGAGTTTACAGGCTGCGGTACAATTCGCTCCCAGCCCCACGTAATTGCCCACAAAATTGTTCTTTATTTTTTGTTTTCAACTTAGTTCTGACATTTGGACCACTGCTACAATAGTACTGGTAGATTGAGAGGGGCTCCACGAAGTTGGAAGTTATTCAGTTTAATAATTTTTTATGTCTATTAAGTTTTATCAATTTCACTTAAATTCGTAGAATTTTGTATAGTTTAAAATTAATTATTTAAATACAGGTGAAAGCTACGCTAGGTTATTTTTAGCAAAATAAGGGACTCTGAAATAATTTTCAAAAAAACATGCTATAACAAATTTTAAAAATTTGAATATTTAAAATTTTAATTTTTACTAAATTTTATAGATAAAGAATTTTAATTATTTAAATATTTAAAATAAGTCATTCTTTAACATAATTTTTTTAAAATAAAAAAATATAATTATTTATTTACGTAAAATTATATCATATTTCTCTTAAGTTCACTCTTATCTTTATTTTTAAAGATATTTAAAATTTTGTTTTATATTTTCAATATAAAGTTCAAAAATAAATTGAGTGACTAAAATTAAACTTTCTTTGATAAAAGTTTGAAAAAAGAAATCTAAGACAAGAGATCTAATAAAATTATGTAATCCTCTCTTAGAAATAGTTGTACAAGTTTTGTTTAATTTTTTTCTTTTATTTCAATTCCTTCTTATTTATCGTCTTTAATAATATGCAAACCTGTTTCTCACATCTACCCTACATCGTAAACCTACATAACCATTTTTCCTTTGAATTGTTATACTTTTAAATGTAAGGGTTTTCTATTTGAAAATATTATATACTCATTTCAATTATTTTTAAAAATTATCAATTTGGTTTTATCATAATAGGGTTAATGACTAAAGATATTTTGTTGAACTAGAAAAAATGCAAAAAATTTACTTTGTTGTAATTTTTGCTTAAGTTAGAGTTATTCGCTTAAGCTAAATTTAGATAAAGATGAATCTAAATTTTTTGTCAAATTCGCTTAAGTTAACACACATTCACTTAAGCGAATCATACATAGAGATAATTCTAAATTTTTTGTCAAAATTATCTTAGCCACAGTCTATGCGCTTAAGCGAATCAAAGACATATATGAATCTAACACTAATGTTCATCGCTTAAGTCGTTATTGTGTTGTATTTCACGGCTTAAGCAGATTATATTCTGCTTAAGCGAATTACTTCTAGTGAATTATTTTTTCAATAATTTTAACTTAAGCAAAAAAAAAAAAAAAAAACTCAGCTTAAGTGAATGTTGTAGAATTTGTGCGATGCAAAAATGACCATTACATAGGGAGAACATGTGAAAGATTTAAAAGGGCATTGAATAATATATCAATACAAAACTTCATTTTCATGATGAATTGAGACTGTAAGAGTGAATATAAAAGTTTTAATTTTAAAAATCATTAACTTCATAAACAGGATTTGTGGAGAGCTCTAAAGATCTAACAAAATATTTAACATTCCATTGATTCAAAAATTATTTTTTTATTATGTATTCAAATTGCATTTAAATACGCATCTGAATGCATACTTTCTTAAAATAAAGCTAGAAGATTCAGGATACATAAAGATAAAGAGAAGAAAAAATAACATACCGAACTTTGAAGACAAAAGATAGTAATAGGTTTTAAAGTTACAAAGTCTAAAGAGAAATTTTAATTTTTTTTTTACAAAGGATTAAATGATAAATATGTATAAACTTATACTATTAAGTTATAGGTAAAAGATCTAAACCTTTTATAGATTTTAAAATACATTCAATGGTTTAAAAATGGCCACTCACTGATGAATTACTTACTTTGGTAACTCATACTACCCTCCACCTTTAATATATAATATATTATTTTTTCTTTTTAAAAATTCTATTGACAGTGAGTGTTTAACTCAAACATTATAACAACTTTTTATAAAATATTTAAAAGTTCTTATTATGTATATCAACTTTATTAAAATTTTTACAAAAATAAATTTATAAATATTTTATGACATTATTTTATTTGAAAGTATAAAATGTTTTAAAATATAAGTGAGTAACAAATTTTGAATAATAAATTTATAAATATTTAAATTATATAAAATTTGATATATATAATTATTAAGATAAATTAATTGTTAGATTGATTAATCTTATATTTTATAAAAAAGATATTAAGTAGTATAAATATTCTTCAAGTTTGATGTTGATTTTAAGAAATTATGACTACTTTTTGAAATATTTATTGTAATTTGTTTGTAAGGATTTATATATATAGACTTGTCTATTTCATAAATTCTTATATGAGCTCAAGCAAGCTCGCCGTTAGTTGTTTAATAATTTTTTATGTTTTCTCACATCTTTGGGATAAAGGTAATCCCTTTATGATTATTTGCTATTTAGTAACAAGAGAAATATTTATTTAATATTATTTTTATTGGAATAGATAACTCAATTGTATAAGTTAAAAATCATTTTAATTCTTATTTCAAAATAAAAGACTTGAGTATTCTTAAGTATTTCCCTTGTACCAAGGCTGTAAGATCACAAAAGATATTATTACTATTTCTCAAAGGAAATATGTTTTTGATATTCTTTCAAACATAGTTATACTTGCAGCTAAACCAGCGCTAACTTTCATGGTAAAAAATTCTCATCTACGTCTAATTGACTCTATCTCATTCCATGATGTTTCATCCTACCAAAAGCTGGTTGGCAAACTTTTTTACTTAACCGCACACAACCAAATATCACTTTTAGCATGCAGCAACTTTATGAGTTCATGTTAGCTCTAGCTACTCATTATAAAGCACCCATTTGCATCATGCAATATACCACAGGTGCTCATAGTAAAGGACTATTTTATTCAGTAGATTCTCCTTTGCAAATCAAGGCTTTTGGTGACTTGGATTGGGGTGCCTACCATGACTCAACACAATCCATCATTGGTTATAGTATCTTTTCATGAAATTCTCTTATATCTTGAAAATTTAAGAAACATAATACAATGTATATAGATCATCCTTTGAGGCAAAATGTCGTGCTCTTGCAACAATTGTAACACCCTAATTTTCATTTGCATTTTCTTGTTTTTAAAATGGAAGAGTTTTCTTTTTCTTTTTTAAAAAAGAGAAAGAATATTCCTTTTAGCTAAAGCGAAATTTTTTTGCTAAAGCAAGAATAGATTAGATTTTCTCATATGTACTCTTGCTCAAGTAAGAAATCTCTTGCTTGAGCAAAAATTCGCAACAGAAATGGGTAGCTCTCTGCCATGTTTTTGCTCAAGTGAAGATACTCTTGCTCGAGCAAAAATATTAGCAGAAAAATAGCACCTTTTGTCTGATTTTCTCGCTCAATTGAGAATATCCTTGCTTAAGCGAGAATCCTTGAGATAAAGGGGTATTTAAGTGATTTTGGCCTTCTAAAAATACATATCTAAAACCAAGAAACTATTCTCATCCCTTTTTATGTTATCTCTTCTTTTCTTCTTAGAGAAAGCCTCCATTTAACTCCGAATCTCTTTTAGATATGAACTTCAACGTCTATTCTACTTGAATCCAAGTAATTTCTAGAGCTTAGCTTTTAAATCTCATTCCTATTTCTCCGTTATTTCTTTTCATAATAATACTCTACTCCATGATGTTAGAAAGAACATTGGTATTTGGGCAATATCTCTTAACAAAACATTGAGCTTCTCCCTAGATCTTGTGAAGAACTTGGTCTCAAAGGCTTATTTCCAAGTAAGGGGAGTTGATCCTAAATCCTAAGTTTTATTTTTATGCTTTAGCTTGAAGAACTCACAATACCCTATTTTGAATAATAGATCTGAAGTACTTTTTTGAAAATATAATGTTAAGAATGAAAATTTTGGGCATGAAAAACTTATGAGTGTTTTTAGAACTATTTAAATGCAATTTCATAGAAAAGTTCTGAATAAAACCATTTTAATAAGTTCCATGATTTGGGCAATGACCATTATGTATGTACAGTAAGTTATAGATTATTATTTTGAACAATATGTGTGTTGTGAATAATGCTAAACTCTAGCATAGGTGATTTTACTAAGACCGAGAAAGTGTAATCTTTGATAATATACGATGAACTATATGTTGGGTCTAAGTTCGAAGCTGTCCGACCTTTAGCACATTGTATTGAATTGTTTGGTGATATGTGTAACATCCTAAAAAAAATTGACTAATTCTTGAATGTTAGTTGATGCTTATTGGTTTAACTTTCTGGAAATTTTTTTTTCTTTCTTTTCTTTTCATCTTTTCTTCTTTCTTTCTCTTTCTTTTTCTCTTCTCATTACCGTTTTTAGTATCTTGATTAGCTATCATTATTTTCTTTCCTTTGTAACCACTTCTTAATCCTTGTTTCTAATTTTACTATGCTTAATGTAGGACCATTTCTGTCATTCTATTCGGTATGATGATTATATGTTACCGTATGGACATTTTAGCTTAGATTCCAAATACTTTGATTTCATACTAAGTACAAGTGCTGGACCCGCCCTTCCCCTATTTTGGTGGTGAATTATTTTTCTACATGAGGACCATAAGTAGAACATGTTGTGAGGGAGGTGTTGAGGTTCATCTTAGAAATCTTCTGAATTAACATTTCTACGTGTTAGTCTTTATGTTTCACAAACTCTCACCCCCTACTTACATACCTTCAATTACCTTGTTTCCCTTTTTTAAAAAATTTCCCAGACAAGTGTAATACAGAATGAGAAAAATGTATCCCTAGTGCATTGCAGTGGTACGTGAGTAACCATTTCTTTTTACTATAAATTATTTCTATTTTCTTCACCGTGATAAATACTTTATGGTACCTTCTTTTTATCTAATACAGTTAAATTAGAAAT